GAGGGAGTGTATGTATGAGAGAGAGAGAGAGAGAGAGAGATTAACAACAAGTCCCTCTCTACAGATGTACCTTAACCAAAAATATTTAGAAACGAACAATAGCATTTGAACTTATCAATACCATCAACTGTGGATTCAAAAGAAACCGGTTAACATAGCATATTGTATCCGACACTGCTTAGCTAACATAAGGATCATTTTAGTGAGCTAATGAAGACGTCAGTCATATAGAATACTCATCAGTATCTGTTCTTGATGCTTCATGGATATTTTTTTTATACCGGTCAATTAAGTGGGGGTTGTGGAGGTAGTGGGGGGGTGGGTAGATCAAGTTTCCTATGAAATTGAGGGTTTATATATCCCCTCCCTCTCCCCCACCCTCCCCACCCCCTGCACCGCACCGTACCCAGATTGAAAATAAATGACTAAAAAAGATACGAAATAAACAATGTGTAATTATCTATCGGAACAACCCCTTAATAATACAATAAAATCATCAAAAAAAATCTAAGAATATTTTCACAAATTATAAGGAAAACCCCTTAATCTGCATAGAGAGAGAGAGAGAGAGAGAGAGAGAGAGAGAGAGAGAGAGAGAGAGGAGAGGAGGGAAAAGAGAGAGAGAGAGTAAAGGAAGGGGTGAATGGATGGAAGGAGGGGAGAGAGAGAGAGTAAAGGAAAAAGAGAATGGGTGGATGGAAGGAGGGGAGAGAGAGTAAAGGAAAAAGGAGGTAAGTGGATGGAATGGAGGGGAGAGAGGGGGGGAGAAAGAGAGAGAAGAGTAAAGGAAAAAGGGGGTGGATGGATGGAAGGAGGGGAGAAGAGAAAAAGAGAGTGAGAGAGGGGGAGAGAGAGAGAGAGGAGAGAGGACAACAGAAACCAGAAAAGTAGAGTGGGAGAGACAGACGACAGACAAAGAGGGAGAGAGAGACAAACAGACATGAACAGACAAAGACAGAATAATAGACAGAAGAAAATCAGACCAAAAGACAGAAAAAAAAAATGATAAAAGATTTTTTGAAAAATATGAATAAACAAAACAAAACGAAAATTACAGAAACAAACAATTTATTTGAAGAAGATGCTATGATAAAAGTTTTTTTTTTTATATAGATAAAAAACAAAACGAAAATTATAGAAATAAACAATAAATTAGAAGAAGATTCTATGATAAAAGATTTTTTTACGAATAAACAAAACAAAACGAAAATTACAGAAACAAACAATCTATTTGAAGAAGATGCTATGATAAAAGATTTTTTTTATATGGATAAAAACAAAATGAAAATTATAGAAACAATGATAAAAGATTTTTTTTTATATGGATAAAAACAAAACGAAAATTATAGAAACAATGATAAAAGATTTTTTTATATGGATAAAAACAAAACGAAAATTATAGAAACAACGATAAAATTTTTTTATATGGATAAAAACAAAACGAAAATTATAGAAACAATGATAAAAGATTTTTTTTATATGGATAAAAACAAAATGAAAATTATAGAAACAATGATAAAAG